TGATTTTTTTCATAATATTATAAATTAATTGTAATCTTTAAATATTTTTACAATTAAATTTTGATGTTATAATAAAAAAAGTATTTGAGATTAATAAATTTTGTGTACGTGTTCAGATATAGATACATGTTCAGCCACTGGTACGTTTACCTTACTATAGATTGTAAATTGGGGCGGAAATAGCCTCCAGCTTGTTCAGGATAATTCAGGACATGCTCTAGGCAGCTTCTGATCATGGCTCAGATGCATTTCATATTCCTGAATGGTAAGAATCAATAAGATCCAGATCGACCATGTTGCGTATTCTTAAAAATGTGTTATACTACAGTCGAATCAACGAATCTTCGCGAGTAACTTGTGGGGGCAAAATTTGCGAGAGATTAAACAAAAAATAGAAATCTACATGCCCGGAGAATCCATTTGAAGCGGAAGTATGCCAAGTAAGAAGCCGACATATAAAGATTTTGCTCTCATTTATATCCCAACTGAAACTTAATTCGCGAAACTCTTCTCAACATAAAATACATCTCTATTACGAGGCGTCGTAAATTTTCTAGCAAGAAATTCAAAAAAATGTACATGAATCGAGAAGGTAATCACTCAGAAAATAGGTATACACCTGGACTTTTAACATCAAGACTTCACCGGATTTCGACGAACTTTCTCGGACTACATCGGACTTTAATACGTGTCATTTTAATTATTTCTTCAAAATTCAAATTATGTGGTAAGATTAATAATAATTCAAAGAACGATCATATAGAAGAAATTAATTTGGCTTATCCATACGAAGTCATTGACAATAACTACTTGGAAAGGACGATTTTGTTGAAAGATCTAAAAATTTTGCTAAAAACAGATCTAAAATTAATTTTTTATTGAATCATCAAAATAATTTGTTGAAATGTTAAAACTGATAAGCATTGCAATAAAACGTTTTAATATTCTAGCAATCACTTTGACTTTCGCACAAAATTATTTAGATTATTGAACAAAAATAGATCGGAAG